TGAGGGCGGGAGCCCGGCGCCGGCGCTTCGACGCCCCCCCTCGGAGAGGAGAGCCTGCTGTTCCGTCTGCTACTGACGCTGCCGCCGCTGCCGCCGCCGCTGCTGCTGCAAGCCCTTCCCAGGGCCGGGGAGGAACTCCGGGCTCAGTAGGTGCAAATCAAACGCCCTGGCATCCTAACTCCAGCGGGTACGGGAAGCCTCCGCAAAGGGTTCTCGCTGCTCCCAGCTTGAGCGCCGCGTCCCCAGCGAGGAGCGCTCGGCGCCACCGCCGCTGCCGCCTTGGAGCGCACAAGCAGGAGAGCGCTGGAAGGGAGACGCAGCCCGAGACCGGGGAGCTCTGCGGCTTCCTTCCTTTCCCTCGGCCCGGCTCTCCTCTCCGCGCCCCGACAAACCCCCAAAACACACACACCCAACACACACGCGCGCACACACACACACACCAAAAAAAAGTGCCCCGGACCTACGGATACCACACACAGACAGGCGAGGGGGACGAGCACGAGGTCTGAACTGCCGCGAGAGCAGTTCCAAATAGGGACTGAAAAGTAACAAAATAATGTGGCAGCTTCGTCCGGCGCTGGCCAATGGGAGCGCGGGGCCCCCACGTGGGGCTGCGGGACTCGGCCTACGACTGGGTGCCGCTGGGCGCGACGTCACAATGCCCTCTTGTGTCTAAAACTATGCATGAAAAGTAGCAATCAGGCCCTACCCGCTGGTGATTTTCGCATGGGAGTGAAAAACAGCGCTCCTCAGATCAGGAATTAACCGAAAGACATATAATAAATAGATATATATTATAGTCCTGGGCTGCTAGAGTTTTTTCCCTCCTCTTTTTTTTTCCCACGATCTACTAGCAAATAATTATTTGGCGGGAGGAGGAAAGAGGGAAGACAGAGGAATAACAACAAAAGAAAATAAGACAGGCTGTACAATCTTCAAAACCTGTGGCTGGTAGTAATGTATCAGTTTATTCTGCAGCGGCGGCGAACGATTCCTCCCTCTAATCTCATTAGGTCTGCAAAGCAGCCCAATTAGATACTATAAAACAAACAGAATCACTTTGTCACTTTAATGTTTTCACTTCAAAAGATTTAGGACTGATAAAATGGTGGCTCCTAAAGTTGCCTCCGACCTTTAAAAATTTGCTTGTAACTGAGGATGTCCCCTTTTCTTCACCCCTTCTTCTGCCCGCCTCCCCCCCATAGACCCCAGCTCTCCTTTGTTCACTCGCCCTTCTTTTCAGAAAGCCAAATAAACATCTCCTTTGATGTGCGGCGGCTGCCTGCGAGGAGAAGTCTGAGGGACTCTGGCTTGGCGGGCAGCGCAGATGGAAGGGCCTGGCTGCCCCTGGACAACAGGCTCAGCCACGGCTGGCTCCATTCGGGGCGCCTTCCCGGTGGGGACAACTTCACCCTCGCCGTAGCCTCGCCGCTCGGGCTCCTCACTGCATCCCCAGGCTGAGGGGGTTGGAGAAGGGGTCGGGACCCTGCTCGGCCGAGGCCCGGGAACTCCGAGTTCCCACCTGGTTTGCTCAGCCTGCTCCCGGCAGCGTCACGGCGTTGGCGGAAGCCTGTAGGTGTCTAGGTCGCCAGCCTGGGCACCCCGGGGGGCGCGGACGCTCCCCCACTCG